AAAAATTAATGTTAATATAAAATTTTGACCAATTAAATTTAAATACAAATTGATATAATATAAAATAAATCAATTGCCAAAATAAATAATAAAATAACATCGATCAACATAGCCATTGTAGTGGATTGTGATAAGATCTCCCTGCTAGGACGTATGTGCATCAACACCTTCAACAACATTTTAAAAACTTTCTTAGTGGGTAATATAGAGAATGATCTCCATGTTGAAATTGTATTAATTCCACGTTTTATCATAGATAATTATTTCACATTTTTTATTGATTATCATTTTATTTTTAATCATAATTTAAATTTTATTATATGATATATTACATTTTTATTTTTCAACCTCAATTAAATTTTTTTTTATCTCCTTATATATATCTTTTTTTTAAAACAATAATAAAAAAAAATAACTAATTTTATTGATGTATAAATTAAAATGTTAATATAAAATTTTGACCGATTAAATTTAAATATAAATTGATATAATATAAATTAAATCAATTGCCAAAATAAATAATAAAATAACATCGATCAACATATTCAACATTCCACCCTCCAAAGAAATTCGGCTTATGATTTCCTTGGATAAGTTGAGTGGTAACGTCATTAACATTCATGATCACCACGCAATACGCCACCCATGTTCATGGTGCAGTCTTCTTTTCAAACCGAACGATGGCTTGGTAAAGTAAAGACAACCCCTAGCTAATTTCCAAACCGGATCGCTTGTGCATGGCATCGGACATCTAGATTCCTTTCTAGCAAGGTTTATTTTGTCGTGCTTCAGCCAGCAATCCAATTTCTGAGTCGTTGCATCGATCTTGGCGCACGGAATTCTCCTTGAAGGTATGATCTAAGGCACAGCATCGGGCTTCAGGTGAACTTTCTCTTGTCTGACCATTTTGGGTTTGTGGGAGTAAGTTGATTCGAGGTCTTTTTTTGTTGTCGAGGTTACCTTCTCGAGATCATTCTCTACAATAATTCATTTACAAAATGCACAAATAAGAAATAGTTTTAATAATGAAACATTCTCAAAATATTTAACATTAAAATCCCCCCTCACTCCATTTATCTATAATTTCTTAGTTACGTTAAACACTTTCTACCTGACAGCAAGTAGGTTGTTACTTTTATGAATAACAACTTTATAATTATATATAATCATTATATATTTTTAAAAAAATCATTTAAAAATTTATTGAGACAAAACTTATATCAATATATGACATCTTAGGGTTACCCCAATGACATATAATAATACCTATACAGTTGATGCATTCATTAAAAGTGTATAACAATGAGAAACAAATGGGTGCGCCATTTTGGTTATCCATATCATTGTTAAAAATTTTAAACGAGGAGCCAATTTTTTCCTAAGTTTGATGCAAACTTTAGTAAAGAATTGCCTGATCATCGAGATGATAAGGAAGCAAGTTATCAATTTAATAGTAGTTTTTAACATGAGAATAATTACTATATGTGTTACTGAAATGGGTGGATCCAGCTGATTTACATTCAACGACGACTTCAAATGCATTATTATTATGAATGACTCGTCAGTCTAGGTATTATTTTATGTCATAGATTGTAACTAGCCTTCTTTTTATTAGACTTTTTTTAAAAAAATCCATTTGTGTCAGTCATAGCATTGTGCCCTGCATCTAACCTTTTTTTTAAATTGAAAAATTTTGAGATCATATTTGTGTATTAAATATAGGGAATAAACTCATTTTTTTGACATTAGACGTCACGTTCGAAAGTAAATATCTGATAATCGTAAGACGATAATTAGTTTCAAAAATTATGATTTCGCAGCTATTAAATATAATTGTTAGCAATGTTAATGAATATATCTCTATGATTCATACATTATATTTTCCAGCATATTTCAAGTATACGTTTTTACTTTTAATACAAAACAGAAAAGATTTAGTATAAATAATAAAAATTATAATATAATTCCTAGGCCGTGGTAAAGACTAGCCTTAGGTCCGCAAAAAAAGGTTTGTGGGGCGATGCCCACCGTAGGGCCTCTTTTATAAATGCCATGGGCCTTTAGACTCCCAGAAAAATTAGAAAATTTCTGACTGTAAATTTTGATCAAAACGTTTTTTTTTCTTTGGTAGCTGCAGACTAAAGGATTATAATTTAGAAAATAATCTTTTATTTCTAACATCAACACCATTAATTGACATACTTCCTACCATCTTATTTATAAAATTCAAATTTGAGAGAAAGAGTCTTTTATTTGTATGGTTAAATTAATTATATTTTAAAATTTTATATGATTTGAGAATATAAAATTTGCAACAAAATACATTGCCATAAAAGAAAAAATTAAACAAAAAAACGGTTATTTTCATCCCTATATATATTGTAATATACATGTATAAACATTCAAAACAAAGTTTCGTTTTTATAAAAGAATATATTATTAAAAAGGCTATCTAGCGGATAAAATATTATTATTTTAACTTTTACAAATTAAAATTTTATTTTAAAAAGAAATAAATCATTTGTTTTATATATCTATTCCAGATATTTATTGTTTATATTACATATAATTTATTTTGAATAGAATTAATTTTCTAAATAACGATTGTACAAAAGATTCAAATATTCATCCTCATATAATTATAAAATTTTCCATCATTTTCGTTAAATGAATTTTAAAACCAATTTTTTATCATGACAATTCTAAAATAGTTTATTTATTCTAGATCTTTCGCTTGAATCGGCATAGGCTGCTAGAGCCAAGAGTAGCGGTTAACAGTCCCATGAAAATAATTCCCACAAGTTATAAAAATAAGAGAAATTACTGGTAAATTTTTTTAATTTGGGGTATCTTATAAATATAATGAATAAAATATATTTAATAAGTAACTAATCAGGACTTTCATATTAAAATAAACAAAATTATGTTTATTTTAATATGAAATTAAATTTATTACAAATGTATTTTATATTTTGTATATAATATGTCCTATTACTAATCAGAATAACATCTATATTCTATAATTATGTTATTTAATAATCCATTTTCTCTCTATTTAGATCTAAAACAAACATTTTAAATTAAGACACATACAAAACTAACTTTTTAAGTATACTTATTTAAAAAAAGACGTACTACTTAAAAACCAAGCCAAATTAGGGTGTCCTCGTCAAAATACTTCGCAGCCTGTATTAAAAAGCAATTAAGTATCCAAATTAAGCCGACCACAGCCTTAATGTTGAAAACCTTAAATTTATAAATAGTCCAAGTCTGATATCGAAAACTCCAAGCATTTTAAAAGATAGCTCTCAAACCATGGGGAAAAATTCCGCGCCCTAAATCTTGGCCAATATTTTTAGTGCACACGACGGCACATTGAGCCACACTTAAGGAGGTAACAATTTTGATTATTCCTTTACTTAAAAAAATAAAATTAATATATTTTATTAATAAGGGATGAGCCAATTCACAACCGATCCGATATATATATACCATCTATTTTTGAATCACTGTAAACTAATAGTCTATGCAAAAAAAAATATGGGAAAATGGAAAAAACAATCTTTTATTCCTCGAAAATTAATAATCTCATTTTTAAAATATGGCTATTTAAATCCTTTTTCCTTCTACAAAAACAAATTTTTTTTTCTAAGCTAAGTTTTCTTTTAAAATAATTCCATTTTTTTTTATTTTTTAAAAAAAAACATATAAAATTACAAATAAATTGATTTTAGTTTCTTTTAAGACATTTTTTAAAAATTATTAAGAAATTAAGTATAAAATAAAAAAATATATATTATATAATTATATATATAACGTCGACTGAGCATTATAGTGTTCTATGTGCATCTTTTACATATAGAGCTTCTTAAAAAGAAAAAAGAATAATATTTCATGTATTTTTAAAAAGCCAGATCATGTAAATGCAAATAAAGAATTATTTTAAATTATAATTTAATATTAATTATCACTGATATGAAAGAATATAAATACTGGAATTCGTCCATCGATAAAAAAAATGAAATTTTGGAGATCAAACACTATAATACTCATCTTACTAATGTTGTATAACGGCTCATTTTATACAGGAAAAAAAATATTACGCGAACCTGAAGATTTGGCTCATAAACGGGCACAAAGGATTGGAACATCTATTACGACACCTCGAGGGTTCGGTTATATTTTTTCCCCACTAAAATATTGAGTTAGCCAACGACGACATATAAACATAAAATAATCGAAGACAGTAATAATATCTGACCCGATCCGATATTTAACATGGGCACATCCCTAACATTTATTTGATTAAAAAGAAATTATCCTACCCTTCGATCCGATGTTTAACATAGGCGCAGCCCTGATATTTATTTGATTGAAAGGAAATTATCCTACCATGTCAAAATTAGCATTAGTAATGGAATCGAGATTACGTATAAATTCATGTTTTTAAAAGAAACTAGAGTACTGGATCCAGGGTCCGAGTTAAGAATATTAGAATTTTTGTCAAAAAAAAATGTATACCACAATTCGATCCCAAGTAATCCCAGAATGGTTATCCGGGATCGTTTGGTCCATCTCAAAATATCTATTCTTGGAACCCACATAAGAGAATCCAAATATACCGAAAAAAGGACAATAATAAGAAAAATATATTGCTATAATGCCTATTTTTAATTTTGAAATATTCTAGGGATTAAATAATAATAATGAAACACTAATAATACAATAGGAGGAGGGTGGGATTTGTTTGTATATATAAATTATTTTTAAATATATATATATAATAAGAAATTTACATATTTTTTGATAATACTTACATCAAAAAAAAAATTAAATTGATTTTTTATATGATATAAATATATATGCAAGATTCGTTTAAATTAAATTAATTGTGATAAATATAACGCAAAAAAAATAACCGATTACTATAATAATAGATAATAATATTTATGCTAAAATACACAATACATACTAACTAATATTACAAAAACGATGATATTTTTGTTTATAATAAAAAATTACGGGAGGAATAAAAAAAAACTATTTAACTATTGGAATCATATATAATATGTAGTAGGTCCATTAAATATATAAATGTAATAGGGTTTGTTCATCAATTCTTTATCCAATATATCTTACTTAGGCTAACTTTAGCCCTCAAGTAAGGCCTGGTTTAGCTTAGGGAATTATTTTTTTTGAAACAAGTTGACGATACATGAAATATTAAGTATTAAAATAAAAAAATTTGCGAAAAATGTAAAGAAATATAATGAAATTATAAATATTTTCAAAAAAATTGAATTAAATTAGCCAGTTCTGTTAAAAAGAGGAGGGGGTGGTCTACTACCAGCTGATGGGTTGAAGGTAGGGGAATGGATAGATGAAGGTTTGTTGGGTATGTTAGCTGATTTGCTGTTTCTCATTTTGAACCAATTAGTTTCCTTGTACAAAAACCATATGTTGCCGCCCCATAATATGAGGTTTGCGTAACCAAAAATCTGGCAGATAAAAAAAAATTAAGATATAATGTTTAGTAATAATTTGTTCGACTCTTTACTTCCTCTCGAAATGACTGAGAAAGATGAATTTTTTGGCGCGTTATTCGAGACTGATAAAAATCTCGAATCAAGACCTGTCCAAAGACCTCAAATCATTCGATTAGGAAGTAGTGTGGTGTCGTATTGGGATACGGAACATATGGGGATTAAGAATCTCTCAATTTTAAAATTTTAATCTGAATTTGACCGGAAATCTATTTCAGCGCAAGAGTTCCTATACCACGCGTTCACAGGTAGCACAAATAAGCGGCGAAGTAATGCATAAAATGATTTTTACTTCGCCGCCAATTACAGCTAACCGGAATGCAAAGGTTATGAACAGCTCAAAAGTTTTATAAAAAAGTGTTCAAAATTTGGTTCTCGATACTTTTTTACCCACCGAGATACATTTTCCGATTAAAAACAGAATATTTTATCGATTTAAAAAACCCCTTGCGCGTTGAAAGAAAAAACACGACATAATATATAAAAATATTTAGATAAATTTTATTTTAAAAATAAATATAAAATCTCTCATCGAGATTACAGCATATCCAAAAATGTTTGCAACGAATTTTGTCATTTTATTAATTAATTTATTTTTCTTTCGCTTTGTCTTCTCAATCAATACACACCGTTAGTAGTGGTATTGGCACTTTGCGACGAACTCCCGGCCATATGTGGTATCGGAGGTCTCCGCGTCCTTCTATTAATAAACCACGTTGTTTCTTTGTAAACGAACCACAAACAAGATGCCCATAACAAGGAGTTAAACATTCCAGACAACTATTTTTAACAAGGGTGTACAGGAGAAAGTGAAAGAAAAAAAATGGGAGAAAAGAGCTCATACGATACTTATTACAATCAATAAGTATCTGCCGATACCTTATAACCGATACTTTCAGAAGGTAATACTCCTTATACATTCTGGAATATAATATTCCTGAAAAATTGGATCTATTTTATATAATAATTTGATAAAAAATATTAGAAAGAGACCAATAAAGCTTAGTTACGAATTTATTCACTAAAACCCCCTATCAAGAATATCTAATATATTTTTTAGAATAACCTTCCGTGAGGGTTAGATGGGTATATAGTATAAAAAAAGATATTCGACATTTAAGGTCATAACCTTTTAAATGCTCTTCATAATAAAAATAAAATCTTCATTGATTTTTGATCTCCGAAGATATTTTTGAGGAATGCTCAAAATGGGATTTTTTGATTTTAAATTTTAACCTAAAATTCTTTCAAAAAGATCTTCAATTTTATGCTCTTTTAAAGGTTTTAATTTGCTCAAAATCATGGGCTTAAGGATGTGTCCTAAACAATTTTTTTTTAAAAAAATTGAAAAGTTTATAAAATTTTTAAAAATTTCGCAATTTTAAAACTTTAATAAAATAAATATGAAATTTAAAAAAAAAAATTTTCAAAAAGATCTTCAATTTTATGCTCTTTAAAGGTTTTAATTTGCTCAAAATCATGGGCTTAAGGATGTGTCCTAATCAATTTTTTTTTAAAAAAAATTGAAAAATTTTTAAATTTATAAAATTTGATAAATATGAAATTTTAAAAAAAAATTTACGAGAATTATTGATTTATACATATTTTTAATTTTTATATCTAAAAAAAAATGGCTTATATATATATTTATTTTCATTAATGTTTTCCAAAGTTTGAGAATTTAACTTTTTCGATATTTTTGGACGCGGCCTAATGAGGATTTTTTTTTCAAAACTGTTTTTTAAGTTGTGTAATCAAAAAATTTAGCCATTCGGCTTATTAAATTAGAAATAGATATAAACCGTTAAGTATTGTAAGCGAGATAGTAGCCTCGATAACTATTATATTTAAAATGAATAGAAGAAAAATAAACGATTAAAGACTATCAAAATACCTATAATTGATAATATTTCTATAAATAAAAGTATCTTAATCACTAAAGGAAAACTTAATAAGAGACCACTCACCTTATCGATGGCGTTTTACAGTTGTTGTTAAATTACCTAACTTTGATCATCTCAAATGTTGGCGTTTAGTCAAGCCTTTAGCCTAAAAAAAAATTGAATTAAGCTTCTCAAAGTTGAGTTTCAACTTGAAGATTGGACTCGAATATATTTTTTGGATAAAAATATGGCTATGCTATTTTATAGTTGACTCAACGTTTTATCCCACCGAAACTCCCTCGAGGGTTAAAATATCTGAGACACAATTAACAATCCAACTAAAAGACCCCTTCAAAACGGTTTCAATTTACATGTTTTCCATCAAAAAAAGGCTCACTATAGAAACATTAAGGCTTGAAAAGTCTCCTCTGTATTTCGTGGCACAGGGAGCCACCCCATTGTAAGGCTTGCAATCATTGATTCGAGGAATCATGTTATCCGGATTAGTGTAATATTTAAGGTCGGTCACGTTCTTAGCCCAAGCGGATGTCGAAATCAGCCATAGAAGAGCGAAAGCCATAGTTATTATGAAATCCTTTTTTTTAAAATGAGAATAACAATATATATATATTTTTTTAAATGTTATTTATTTAACTTTCTCTTTCTTTCATTCTCACGTAGATAAAGTCTAAAATAATATAAAAATTGTACGATCAATTACGGATTTTAATCAGCGTGTTCCCAAAAAAGAACCATAATTCATATTCAAAAATTTCGATTTGTATTATTTTTTTTTGTCTTAATATATAAAAATTGATTCGTTTCATCGATGAAATGTCTAGTTTTACCATCAAGACTTTTTTAGGCTAATTTTTTATTATTTAGATTACATTACAACCCCTTCTTCGAGAATTTGATTACAATAATAACCAAGTATGAATATGGAATAATTGAAAAAGAGGTTATTTGTATCGCAGGTTGCACTTGATTCGATGCCATTTTTATTTTTTTAAAAAAAATGGATATTTTAATCCACAAAAAAAATAAATAATTTGATTTTCAAATAAGATATCATTTTAATCTAATCGTTCAATTAATTAAATTTTTTTTTTCAAAACAGGCACAAAATAAAATTATATTAACCCTTTCGCGTCCAGCGAGATCATTTGTCATCAATTCGTTTTTTTAGCCGATTTTTATAAATAGGGATAACTAAATATTTTAGTCCAAGAAAAATATTGGCTACTCCTAGAGATTTCGCTAATTGATGCCTAAAAATCTTCGTGGTAATGAGCAAAATCTTCAGGCTCCCTTCAAGCTCATCTCTGTTGTTATTTTTGTATCTATAAGTGAACTTAACCGTTACTTTTTTTCACATGTAAGAGGATGCCGATACATCTCCTCACATGAGGTTCGAATGAAAATTCTCTTTTACGAGGAGAAAATTGGGAAAAATATATTAATAACAAACCAGCATGGGTAGTCTCTCGTTTTCGTAATACAACTTGTCAAAGAATACGTAGATAACCAGGGCTACCAGGGCGTAAAGGAAAGCCAAAACGCCTATGGCTACGTAGAACTGAGCCGCGCTCGAATAATCGCCCTCTAAAAATACGCGGGAATCGGAATCTCGATTTAAAGAACTTGATCCCGGTAAGAACGTGGGAGAAAGACGGTCGTTGGCGTTTCCGCGTGAGCATAGCGGTAAACTAATGGCGAAGTGATTTAAGCTAGAGATTTTTTTTTAAAAAAAATAAATATATATTACAAATATCAAGTATATGTACCAATTAAATTTCCCATTTTCTTTTTCCTAGTGTTGTTACACGGCTAGTTTTGAGCCGATTGTTTAAAAACGAAAGCAATTAAAATTTTGCTCGTAGAATGGTAACATCTTAGACAATATTTTTCTGGTCAAAAATGGAGTTAGCCGTTTTTAAAAATCGTCTCAAATCAAGCCGTAACAACACTACTTTTTACTCGTAAAAATCGTGTCATTTAACATAAAATGGAAGACACGAGACGGCTTTTCGAGCAAATTTTTTTTTAAGTTTCGATTATATAATTATTTATCGGAACAGCTGATGGGTCACGCGCGTTAGGGAGTTAAATACCGCGGAATAGTTATAAGTATTACTTCAGCTACAAATAGTTTGGGGGGGCGGGGGAATTTTTATAAATCATAAAGTGTTAATTCGCGATAAAAGTAATAATAGAATTTAAATACCACACATTTAGCACTCGAGGAAAACCAAAAAAAAACAAAAGGAGAAATCTGCATACATTTGTTTTTTAAATAATTTGTTTTTTATATTTCAATAATTATTCTCTTATAGTGCGCACAAATTGAACTTTTCAACGCCGCGTTTCGAAACGCGAATTTTAAAAAAAACGTATGGTTCAGCACGTTCTTGGTTCCATATTATCTCGTCTGTTCCATCATTTCAAAGCAAATCTTTTAGTAATAATCTTCAATTCCATGGGCTAAAAAATATTATCGTTATCATTTTAATATAATTATTCCTACTTTTGAGAAAGAGGTTGTAGCATCCATCCTATAACTTCAACATATAAAAAAACGTTTCAAAAAAAAGCAAGATATTTTTTTTTCAAACGAATGCATTTGAAATGCATTATTTGCGTTTTGAAACCAATTTGTTCGCACTATTTAAACGCTAAAAAAAAATATTCATTATTTTATTTAGGTAAACATGACATTTAACAAGAAGCACAAAATATGTAAGGATAAATTAAAAGGGAAAATATAGTAAAGTAAATTCATTGAATTGAAGGTATGTTTTTTATCGTATTTTTTAGGGCTTTTTATTTATTTTATATTTTTCTTTCTTTTCTAATAATTAAATTTATAATTTGAATTTCGCGTATTAATTTTTTAAAAAAAGATAAAAGAAGGGTACATTCATTTAGATTAGCCCATGCCTTGATTGAGCCTTGAAAAATTCTAAATAGTTTAGGGGCCCAGTTAACCGCGTAGTCCCATAGATCTCCCTCCTTCCAAAATAACCCGCAAGGATGTTCCTGCTCTCTGAATCCTCATCTGTATATCAGATCCCGCAGATTAGAAAAAATTAAAATCGATTGATCAGGTGAGGGAAAATAAAACGTTGAGAAATCACAATAATGGAAACGGTTTAAAAGAATTCGCTTTACTGCCATCTTTTCGATTTTCCCTTCGAAAATAATTTTCGTAAATTAGAACCAAAATCATAACTGAAATTTTCAAAATAAAAAAAAATCCAGGACCGATCCGAAATTTTGACCTCTGAAGCTCTTGCTCCTGCTATATACTGGGAAAAAAATATATTTGTTTAATAGAACCCACTTGTAGTATACGATCACATTCCCTTATCTAATAAGTTATTCTAGAGATTAAAGATGGACCAACGGGCCTGATTTTTCCCGCCCCACTAGCGCTGACACTAAAATGTTTTCACGCCCGCCAACCCGCCTACCCACATTTTGATCGCACCCGATATAACAAAAAAAGAATCGTAACAAACCAGGAATAACAATAAAATCGTCTTAGGAAATTTTGTCGTAATTCATAATTCCACAAAATAAATCAAAAAAATTTATGTAAAATTGAATTAATGCCAAATAATATATATTTAATCTCTTGGTTTGCTTTCTTCTTCTTTTTTTTTAGTAGAATACTTATTGGCTATAAAAAAATAATGGCTCATTTGGAAAACCGAACTGGAAAGGGGTTTAAAAAAAATCAATTTTGGTGAGATTTATGAGCAATTTTCAAAAGGAATCATTTTTTGAAATTTATAAAAAAAAAAAAAATTTCTAATCGGTTATAAACTCAGAAAAAGAGTTTGAACCGGTAAAAATTTGTGTTTTCAATCTTGAAAGATTTTTTTTATAACTAAATTTGTAATAGTTAAAAATAAAGATTCACGTTTTAGAGATAGTCTCCTAAAAGTATGGGTGACCGGGGATCTTACGAGCCCAAGATATTTTGCCCGCCTTGGGGTATTCTTCTAGAGAAGTACTCAACTCTAATGGTTAATTTTTTTTTTGAAACCAAATAAGTGTATAACTTTATATTATACATATCATATGAGGCTATAATTTTTTTTTTTTTGAAATATCGGATCATATAAAAAAAATATCTATAACACAATACATAATTTATAGCCTTTTCAAAGTAGTGGTAATCAAATGGCTCGTTTTAAGCCGATTTTTAAAAGCCTGGAGATTTTTCCTCGTAGATGGCACGATGGTTTGGATATCCAATTAGCGAAATCTCGAGGATTAGCCAATATCGTTTTATCGGCTAAAATATTGAGTTAGCCGTTTTATCGGCTGAAATCGAGCCGTTTTATCGGCTAAAATCGAAGACGGATCCGTTTTTTAACATCCGTTCCGTCAAAAGTCAATCAATCACATTAAAAATGATATATATATTGATTTTCATTTTAAAAAAATTATAAATTTGCCGGGTCAAAAAGTCAAAATGTTTTGACTTCAAAAATTTGCCGGGTCCGTTTTTAAGACGGAAGGTATCGGAACGGAAGCACTTTGAACAAATATATGAGATTGACTTGACGGAACGGATGTAAAAAAACGGATCCGTCTCCACTTTGAATGCAGCCTTATTCAATAACTATCTTATATATAAAAGATTAAATCATTTTCCATATATATTATCGTTCTCTATTTGAAGAAGAAAAAAAAAATGCGTTTAAACTACCATAAAATTACGTTTTAAAAATATTGAAGGATCTGGGGGCTACTTTTCAGGGGTTCGTGTGAGCTTTTTTGATCGTTATTTAAAAAAAAAATTTTTTTTTTAAAGAAATTGTATTAGAAAATAAAAAAGAAGAAACTACTAAACAAATGATGAAATCATTAACATAATTTAATGAAAATCCATCCTTGCTAGGGTTATGCCACATTAAAAAGATGTAAATCAATGATTAATGGAAAAATAACTAAATTGCCTATATTAATCCGTCTCGCGTAAACGTTCGCTCTTGTTGGCCACCATGGATCCTTTTTGCGATTTTAAATCCATAATTTATTTTCAATTATGGCTTTATTTCTCATCAATAAAAAAGTATAGTTTGTAAATAATAATATATAATATCTCATTTTTATATTTTAAAAAAAAAATCGATATTTTACAAGCTGAAAAACGCCTCACGCGACAACCCATCCTTCCCTTGGTTTAGCGCATCCTTTCCAAATTTGTTTTTTTTCCAGGAAAAATTAATTTTTATGTATAGCATAATAAGTAAATAAAATTTAATTTTATTGACGTTTGCGTTTTAGGGCTCACATACTCCCCGGTCTGCCCTATTTTTTATATATATGGCAATTCATTTGTTAGAATTTTTATTTTTGAGACATTTCAATATCTATTATTTTGTTATCTTTTTCATTCAATTTGTTTTTCTCGTGTGAAATAAGAAATGCTGTTTTGTTTATAAAAAAGGTGCAATAGAAAGAATGTTTAGTCATTCCTTTAAAAAAAAAATCAAGTTTTTTATAAAAGTAAATGCCTAATTTTTTATCCGCTAGGTGTCGCCTATATAAATTTTCTTTTTTATTTATTACTAACATAAATTTCTTTTATTTAAATGGCAGAATAATCATAAATCCACTATTATTTATAGCTGGGATTTTTTTCTTCTAAAAAATTGACATTGTTATCTAAAAAATGGAAATTTTTATCAAAATAAAAACGATAATTAGGATTTTTTTTGGAATTATAACAAAACAAATTAATTAGTGATTTTTATTTTTTTTCCAATAATCAATGAAAAGTGAATCTGCATGCGGAATCTAAATTAGAGAGAGAATACACCCAATGACATTAATACTAAACTTAGGTGCACGGTTCATTTATTAAAAGTAGTTGTTAAACGGCTCGTTTTGAGCCGATTTTTAAAAACGGCTAAATCAATATTTTATCCAGAAAAATACTACGCAAGCCTGAAGATTTTGCTCATAGAAGATACAAAGATCTAGATATATATTAACGAAAGGTCGAGGCTTAGACAATATTTTTCTGGCTAATATTGAGTTAGCCGTTTTAAATAATCGGCTCAAAACGAGCCGTTTAAACTGATTAAAAGTATACATATAGTTGAAGTCAGCTGTATCCAAAACCAATGGCTATAATAGAAACCATCGAATAGGCATTTCGACTAAATGCCTTAATTATATTTCGTCCAAATGCCCTTTTTTACCGAAAAAAATGATGGTCATCGAAATAAAAGTGATCGTTATAAATGTATCTTTAACTAGGGCAAAGCGCAATTAGATATTTATGCCTCATTAAGCATCACATGAAAATTGTATACCTATTTTTAATTAAAAATTTTCTAGGTCTGAATTTAGATTACTAAAAAAATTAGATTTGCAGGGACTTTTAATCCTTCTCCTAAAATTCGGGAGATCTACACTCCAGGGACCAGATCTAACAAAAGTATACAATTAATTTTATTAATACGTATGTAATGGAATAATGAGGATTGATATTTATAAAGGTTTTCATTTAAGCGCTTAACTTCTATCTCTTTTTTTTAATGCACTCATTTATACCGAGTTCAAGCCCGTAAAACCCGAGAAACCGGGTCGAATCTAAAAACCGGGTCAAACTCGTTCATAAGATTTAGCAAAACGGACGCTTTAACCGTTTTTTTTAAAAAAAATTTAACGTGTCAAGAGCTATAAAACTCTATTTAAATTCACTAAAAAAATAAAATGACAATTTTTTATTTACTAAATAATAAACGATTTTTCTTACTTATAAAAGGGATTAACGTATCATTTTTGAAGAGGATTTGTATTTATATTCGTAAAAAATAAAATAAAAAAAAGATTTTAGATTTAAAAATCTGGTCAAAAGAAAGACGTAATAAAAAAAATAGGAGATGTAAAAAAACATAGTTAGTTAATAAAAAAATATAATTTAAAAAAATTATTTCTTATTTTTATAGAGGAGATATATATTTAATATATAAAGGAATAATTAAGATTTTATTTTAAGTGTCATTATTGAAATATTAGATAATGACGATTATATACCAAAATAAAATAAAATATTGGTACTTTCGAATTTCGTCGGTGGCCTCAGCAGTGGTGTTGTTAAACGGCTTTCAGCCTATTTTTAAAAAGGGCTAACTCAATATTGTATTAGGAAAAATATTGTGCAATCCTTAAGATTTTGCTCCTAAGTGGCACAAAGGGTTGAACATCTGTTAACGAAATCTCGAGGCTTTGATAATATTTTTCTGGCTAAAATATTGAGTCAGCCGTTTTTAATAATAGGCTCAAATCGAGCCGTTTAACAACACTACTCAACAGTTTATACGTTGATTGATAGAATCCAGAAAAAATGGAATATTTCCGTGAGTGATAGGGTCTGCACGATACAGTAGCGTTGTTAAACGCGTTCGATTTTAAATTAAGACGCTAGGCAAAAATAATATTACGCGAGCTTCGAAATTCCGCTGAAAGATGTCTGAACCTTCGCGCCATCCACGAGCAAAATCTCCAGAGCATGCGTAAATATTTTTCTGGCAAAGATATTTGGTGGACAGTTTTTAAAAAAAAATCTTAAAAAATTTCTGACCGTCAAATAATTTTTAATTTAGATCGGCCTTTTCGGGCAAATAAAAAAAATTTGTTCGGGATCGGGCCGGGCCGAATATTTTTTTGAATCGGACCGGGCCGGGCTTGAAAATGTAATAGACGGCTACCCGAAAACAATAAAAAAAATTCCCTGTATATAATAAAGTATAAATTACGAAAACCCACTAATATTTTAATAAAAACTCGATACCCTAATACCTCGTTACCCGTTATAATTTATAGAGTAAAAGATTAACTTTTGATTTATACATATAAAATTAGAATATTATACACACAACGTAACGAAAATTATCGCGAAATTTGGCTACGATTTCGTGGTTCGCCTTTTTAGAGCAATAATTTTTAGACCATATTTGATATCGAGTTTTAGTAGTAATGAGTTAGTTAACCATTTTTTATTTATTTAGTTAAATGCAGTTATATAGACTAATACATTTTTTTCGAGTTTGTTTTCATTATTTATTTAATAAAATAAAAATATTTTTATATTTGAATAAATATTCTTTAAGAAAAAGCAATTAAATGCAAATAAATAAATAGAAGAATGTACTGAAAAAAAATTCAAAAATAAACAGAATAAAAGTGTACTTAATAAATAGAAAGGGGGAGGGAAGTGGTGATTGTCTCGACGGGTGTTGTTTAAAAGCCAAATTCGAGTCGATTTTTAAAGATGGCCCTATTAACATTTTAGACAAAATAATATTATGCAAGCCTCGACTTGAGATTTGGCAAAATAGATGCCCAAATTCCTTTTTTTGCCATCTACGAGAAAAAAAAATTTTCAGGTTCACATAATATTAGGGGTGTACCGATACCACTTTTTGGAGGCCGATCCCATCAAACTGATACCGATCGATTACCAATTCGATATCATATCAATTTTGTATTCTGGAAAGATACCAATGGTTTTAATTTTTAATATAATTTTTATTAGTATAACATCTATAATTTAACTATACCATAACTTATGTCGCTTAAATATATTATAATGATTAGTTATATATAGTTTATATACAATTCAATTGCAATTTTAAAAGTATATAAAATATTTTTATTGAAAAATCGCTTATTAGTAAGTAATAACATTAATCTAGTTACATAAATAAGTAGTAAACAAATATATTATGAAATTTGAAATAAATATTTAAAATTAATGTATCGAAGATTTCATTTTAGAAATACCAAAATTTCCAATTTATCAGAAGTCAATCTGCGGTGATGGGGATTGTAAATATCACTAGCTTTACTAAAAGCAGATTCTAAAGAGATTGCACACTTTTATAAACAGAATGCGAACAAAAATAACAATATGGCCTATGTTTATTAACTAATTATTACTATTAAAAAAAATTAAACATAAAAATGGATTTCGATTTTATTTATAAAAATAAATGGTTTTTTAGATATAACTTTTTTTATATAACATTTTATTTTTGTTAAAAACGCCATTTTTTATCTGATCGGAAAATTTTATAATATTTGCCGATAACCGATATTTTAAAATGGGTGAATTATTCGATCCGATATAAAATATCGGTACATCCCTACATATTATTATTTTAGTTATTATAATAGTCGGATTTTTTTAAGGCAACACTAGTCCTGACCCAACCTATCAAAGGGTTTAAACAGATTAACCTTTATTTAATCATTTATAAACGCCATCTAAATAACTTTTTAAAAAAATTATCTCCTCTTAGTAGCAGGTCGCTTAGCTAAGTTTGACAAAAGCCCGATTCGGGTCTATTTTTAGAAAAGGACTAGATTAAAGAATTTAACCAAAATAATTAAGTAAGCCTGGAATTTTTGTCATAGGTGAAGATTTAGAGCTTTATTTGCAACCTAGATTCTTAGAAAGGGAACCGAAGAATATAGCAAATTAACCGAATAATTGATAAAGAAAGATTTAAAAAATACACCAAGCGGCGATTTTAACAAAAAAAAATTAAAAAATATAAATATATATTATTGATTTATTTAAACTTGTATGGATAATGGAAAATTCCTTTCATGATTTTGACTACACTGTTATTACAGGTGACTTGGAAAGTGAAATACGATCGATGTCCGGTGGTGGTGGCGAAAGCGAATATGGCTAATATCTATAACACGAAAAAAAAACTATTTATCCGCCAGGAAAAGAAATTTAAAAAAAATATTAAATTATCTTTTTTTTTAAAAAATAAAATAATTTTACAAAGATTAAAATTTATTTTAAAGAGTGTCACAATATTTCCCATATGATTACCTTTTTAAAATCATTCGTTTCGCCAATTTTTCTAAAAAAAATAAATCGAGGTGATTTAAATCGCGGATTTTAATTAATCAATCCTATTGGCGATTTATTTTTGTGTCAGTCATAAATAAAGTATAATATACTACTATACATGATTTTAATACTCATTACTACTATAAAACGACCAGGAATTTCTACACCCCCCCCCAGTAAATTTTACCACTTGTCCCCCTCCCCTCCTCTCACCAAATAAGTGCATCTTTTCTTTATAACTACTTACTTCCTACTACCTCCCATTTCAATGACGTTGATCCTGTTTCACCCCATTACCGCAGAGTAAAAATCCCCTTGGTAATGTTATGGCTTATTACAAAGCCCGGTAAAGGTCGCTTCAGCCAAAATAACTATCATGTAAGCCTCGAGATTTGGGCAGATGCAAGGAAGGAAAGAAAGAAAGAAAGAAAGAAAGAAAGAAAGAAAGAAAGAAAGAAAGAAAGAGAACCATTCTGTCGTCTATGAGCAAAATCTTCAGGCACCATAATATTATTCCGGCTAAAAAAAATCTTAACTGGTTCCATTTTCAACCACCCCTAGTACCCTGTTAAACTATTTTGGCGAAAATCGAATTGGCCACTTATAACATTTTATAAAAAATAAATTATTTTTAACGAAATTAAATTTAAAAAGCATGATAAATAATAATGTTATTATAATATAAAATATATATAATTATCGTCAAAATATAAAGTGCTACGTGTGAGTATTAGAAAATAGAAAATAATGCTTTCACATTCAATTTATTATCATTATATTTTAAAGTGGGGGAAGGGGGGGGGGGAGGGGGGGGGGGAGAAGGAATTGTTTATTTAATTTTTATCATATTTTGACAAAAAATAATAATTGAGATTGAAGTGATAATACGGCGCGCAATGTGGTGATTAGCAAACATAAAAAATTTCAATAACAGGACCTGGAAAGATAGATGATCGTAAAGTTTAAAAAAAAGTTTTAGGCCTAATAAATGGTACAAAAAAACCGCAAAATTTTTAGTTTTAAAGCGAGAAGGCATTCATTTTATAGAATTAGTTGTAGAAAGGTTCGGATCCCTTCATTCAAATTATCTTACTTTTTTTCGCGAGTTCAGATTCGAATATTATCTCGAGGATAAATATCGGATCCCTGCGCGGGTAAACTCGGGTAAGCAATCCGTCGAACCCGATAGGATCGGATCTCGGTTTTAAAATATTCGGACCGGGTTGTTATAAAATAATATATTCTTTCTCTCGTACGAATTTAAACACAATATTTCCATTCCTTCTTTCTTTCCTAATTTCCTTGAGGGCTAAATTTTCCCGCTTCCTTTAAAAATTATCGTATACCATTTTTCCCAACGGTACGGGCTAGGATCTTTGAAAAAAAAACAATATAGATGTAGCTGGGCAATATTTTTCAATTTTTTTTAGCGGATCGGACAGGGCCTAGTAAACGCTATGACTGGCGCAAATATGATTCTTAAAAAAAATCTAATAGTGCGAACAAATTGTGCGTTTCAAACCCCGCAATGGCCTTGTGCAGATTGGCAAAATTACCGTTTGGCGTTAGCAACCATTTTAAAAAAAAGGCAAAACAGGTTTGCTTTTTCAATACTTTTTTTTTATTCTTCGTTTTGTAATATTATATATAAAATGTAATATAAAATAACTTACTTAAAATCCTAAAAAAAAAGGGAATATTTTAGAAAATTAAAGGAATTAGAACGCAGACGATAATATAATTTTTCAAAAGACAAATCCTTTTTATTTTAAAGATACTTATTTAAAATTCTGAATCGACGGATATGAATAAAAAAAAGGGCAACCTCAATTGAAACAAAGAGACGCGTTATGTTTTTTTTTAATTTAAAAATTACGGCAAAACGTAAACGCTCAATTTGTGCGCGCTAAAATAAAATGAGTGCTAGCTACAACTTTGACCATCTCTATCGTGGTTTACTAAAACTTTTAGCCAAAAAAATTTGAATTAAGCCTATGAGTATCAACTTAGAGATTGATTCGAATATTTTTTGGATAAAAGTTTGGCTACGCTGTTTTATAGTTGACTAAGTGTGTTAGGTAGTTTAACAACAACTAAAAAAAATCTTTCGATTTCGAAATTTAAAAATCCAATATTTAAAAATGAGAGATATCCCAAATTATAATGGAAAATCGATTTTTGGGAAAAGGAATGGGGGAGGGGGAGAACCAACCCCGTGTTTATTATAATTTTTTAAAAAAAATAATTAGCAAGTAAAATTGTCCAGTAAAAACGAAAAAATGGGGAAGTTGATTTTCATCGAAAAAAATATATAAATAATATTAATAAATGAATTAATTTTGCCGAATGCCTTTTCAGAATTCAGAAATTAAAGATAATCATGATTAATGATTGTTTTAACCTTTTTATATTCGCATAATTCGCGTTTTAATGGAATGGATTTGGCAAAAAATAACATTATTTTATATTAAAAAAAATTTTTAAAAAAAATTTTTAAAAAAAACTATGCGAGTGTGATGAGACATGAAAGTCTTGATAAATTTTTATCAGATGTAAAATATTAGATTTAAAAAAAATTCTTAATTTTGTCGAGATGCGATGGGGTGGAGGAGAGGTAATCGTCTCCCCCCTTTTTTTTACTCGATTACAAAAACCACCAAATCGAATTTATTTTATCCGAATATTATCATCACAGCCGCTTAAAGATTCCTCCGAAAGTTTGATGATAATCAAAACAAAGTTGACAGTTTTCCTATACCAGACATACGAGTAAGAAGTATATTATTTATATGCCGGAATAAGATATAAATTTCGAGTGAGTTTGAACAAAATTCTCACCAATTTCGTAAATATATTTACTATATCGGAGGGAATTAAGAATCAGGATAGCATTAAAGAAGGATGCTCCTCAGCGCTTACAAAATGATTAAGCATAAGTATTATGAGCAATTAGAGTTATCCCTTTAAGAATCGATTAGAGTAGAGAAAAAAAGAAATTTTAAATCATTGTGAAGCAATGCATTTGCCGGGAATTTTTTTAACTTAGTGAATAATTATTCTAATGCAGTAATTTGTTTCCTGCAGACTCTTTGCACACATATGGCAGTAATAGAAAAAAGTATCAAAATGGAGGATAAAAAGTGGTGATGCACCAAGGAAAGAATTCGAGATGCCTTTATAAGAAACCAAAAATATCAAAAACGGAGGATAAAATGGAAATGCACTGATACAAATGGAATTAGTCGGTCTTGGTATTGGCCAATACTTTCAATCATAACTGATACCAGATATTCATATTTTTTATGCTACATTATTATTTTATTGGTAGATGTAGTATTTGAGTTTGGTTGAGATAATATTATAAGTAATAATGGAAGGTATCATAAAAAAAATATAAAATGCATCCAAACTATAAAAAAAATGGAGAACTTTTTCTTGAAAATAAGAAATAAATTTGTCGATACTCAACAAACTCATTAATACCCTGGTTAATTTAGCTTCATGAAAACTTTTTATTTTAAGCATTAAAGAAAGGAAGAATGTAACTCAGTCCTTGAGTAACAATATAAACTCCTATTTGAGCCTATTGGATAGAAGAATGGTATTGGTATAGTTATGAAGTCATTGACCTGAAACGAATGCGATTGTCCGGTGAATCTCAAAAATTTCTAGCATTAGATAGATTGGTCCACTGTGAGAGCGAGTTTTTGCTAATGTTTTTAAGAAGTTCGACATGTTCCATAAACTCTAAAGTGTTTGAAACAAATTATGTAAGATATTTTCTAAGAAGATATCAGATTTATTTCATTTTAAAGTTTTTGCCCTTGCAATTGTTAAGTAGTAATGGCTGTTAGATTTGAAAAAAATTAGGGTTTTTATTTAAGGTAATACAGTTATCACATGATTACCATGATGGTTATGGCGTTATTGTCAGACTAAAGCCCTATTGATTAAAAGGTGAATAGGTGATGGTATGAATATCTACATATAAGGTCTCTCATAATGAAACTGGAAAGGTGCATATTAATGTGTTTTAGACCTCAGAGAATTGTGCATAGGCCAGGATCACTTAGTTTGGAGATGAAATGGCAAAGTATCTTCTGCAAAAGAGAAAAAATAAACAAGTATTTGTAATTGTAACTAATTATATATATAATAAAAGAAAAATTTAATTCCTAAAAACATACACCTCACCCTTTAATATCAACATAATGCTTATAAATGATTAACATGTAAGAGAGGATGGGGGGGGGGGGGGTATTTATTTTCTCAGAGTATAATTTTTATATAAAAATGTTGTTTTTTTGAAATCAATAATTTGGTTGATATTAGATAACTAATATGATTATATGGGGTTTAATTATGATTTATAAAAATTTTAAAAAGGATATTAGTTTGTTTAAAATAAAACATTTAATTGCAAATTTTTCTAAGCAAATCTAAATAAAAATTCTTTTAATATACAATGTAGTTTATAAAAAACATTTCTATATTTTTTTAAACATATTTGCAAATAAGATGACTTAACTTGTAATGGGAAAATATTTAATTTGGATATAAATAAACTGAATTTTTTATTTTCCCCTATTAGACTAAGAATGCACCAGTGTTCTAGCATTTGAAAAATTAAACATTTAATAAAATATATCATATTTCTTTATTACTTTAAAATATGAAATTCAGTATTAATATGGGCAGACGATCAATTTTTCAATGCATAAAAGCTTATGTTATCTAAATATTTGGAATGAATTTTGCAGCACTTGATTTTTGGCTTGCTCATTATTTAATTTGAATGCACAAGCACTCTAATATCACCTTAGCCTTAAATAATAAGTCATTTAATTCTAATATTATATCATTAACATATATAAGCTGAAGTTCATATATAAATATTTTAATACAAAGTTATAATAAAAAAGTTATATTTTTGATATTATTTTGTTAAAAAGTATACTAAATTTATATGAACTTCAAAATGAATGTTATAAGTAAATATTATATTTCTATAAAATGGTGAATAAATAATTTATGAGAAAAATTCAGTTACATATAGAAATAAACTTTGGGATTATAGGTTTAAATCACAATGCATATAATAGAAAATAAATAGATAACTAAAATATAAACAGGTGTTATAACTTACAATTTGTATCAATTTTATAAAGCCCCTAGGTTCTCTAAGACTTGTGAGATTCCTTTGATTCATAACTTGCACCAACTAAAATATATTTTTAAAATCAGTCAAATGAAATAATGTAAAAAGTAAAACTATCTTTAAATCATAAGTCACTTAAACAAATGAAAAGATTAAATTTTTTAATTGTGAATAAAATAATTTTTAAATAAAAACAAAAAAAAATGACATAACAGTTCGTGGTTGTCTTTCAATTTCTAATAATGCAACAGTTCTAATTTGAAGGTTGTCCTAGACAACCATAATAAAAGATATATTTTGTAAAACTCAAATTATTAGGGAATGTTATTTAATTATTATAACAAAAATGATCATCTTTTACGTACTTTTGAGGTATCCATGGTTAATAAAAAAAATATATACAGAAATTAAAAAGAATAGTTTATCGATTTTTCAGAATGTCCGTTTGATTTTAACCGAACATGAAGATGATAAATTATAAATTTATTTACATAATGAATTATCAATTTTTTTAAAATAAGTTATATAGTGTCAAAATCTTAAGTCTAATAATACATCAATTCTGAATTTTTATAAAATATTATATATTGTGCCTGGCGATAAAACTCTAGATTTCAATTCAACAAAAATTATGTTTGCAAAGGTATAAAAAAGGTAAACAAGTATACTCCACAGTTCATACAAATTGTCAAGCTAAAATATAAGAACAAATAAGGTATTTACCTTATTTTTATAAACCTTATACCATTTTACTAATATGAGTGAGGAAAAAAAGATAAAGATAATCGTTTAAAGGGTAATTGCCCTTTTTAAAATGGGAACTTAAATTGCAATGTAGCAATATACCTAGTAAAAAAGCCTAATATAAATTTAATGCTTAATGATATATAGCGGTTTTTATTAAGATTAAACAGTATTTCTCCAGTATTGGAATACATAATTATTATCATCTTGCGGGTGTCATTCTATTTTTTTATAAAAAATATTATTTTAATTTTTAAAATTATTTGCCTTATAATCTTGGATGATATCTATTTTCCCAGCTGATTAATTAATATAATTTAAAATTATTTAAATAAAGGTACACCTAATTCCTCAATCTCAATGTTAAATAAACCGTAAGCTATTATTAATTGGTTTTTTTTATAATTTCAAATTGTTTTCTTCTTCCAAATCAT